GGACTGGGGTGGACAGGGTCTGAAGTCAGACAACACCAGGTTATAGTCCTACAGATTTATTTGAAATTCCAAGCTTTCGGAGCATTACCCCTTCACCTGACAAATGGGCAAAGCGCCAAAAGCTTATGACTTCAAATAAACCTGTTGGACTATAACCTGGTGTCATGTGACTTCTGACCAGGAGGCACTAAAGCACTTTACAACCAAACTAAGTACTGTTGAATTGCAGTCACTATTGCACATTAGGCAGATGGCAAACAATTAAAACATAGCAAGATCCCACAATTAGTAATGTGATAATGACTACAGGTTTTGTGACAGTGATTGAGAACTCCCTTACTTTTGTTCACAACAGTGCCACGAGATTTTTCTTACAGCTACCAGAGAGCACAGATGGGGCTTCAGTTTAATGTCTCAGCTTAAATGATGGCACCTCCAAAAATTGCTGCATTCCCTCAGTACAATGCTGGAATGTCAGCCCATATTTAGTGTTCAAATCCGTCAAGTGGGACCTGAATTCTCAGCTTCCCAGTTCAAATAGGTGACTGCTATGGGCCACTGCTGAAAACAAAAGCACAAATTTTCACAAAACAAATAAAAATGCCCCAGAAAAGGAAAATGTTGGTGGCGATGGATAGCATATTGATATTGCAATGAAGCATTAACTGCTTTGGTTAGAAACACAATGAACTATCACTCTTTGAAGTTCAATGACATTATCAAGGGGAGGTCATGCCCGACAAATCTGCTCGAATTCTTTGAGGAAGTAACGAGCAGGGTAGACCAAGGACAGCCAATGGATGTTATCTACCTGGACTTCAAGAAGGCCTTTGACAAGGTGCCGCACAGGAGGCTGCTGAGTAATATAAGGGCCCATGGTGTTAGAGGCAAGGTACAAGCATGGATAGAAGATTGGCTCTCTGGCAGAAAGCAGGGAGTGGGGATAAAACGGTCTTTCTCAGGAGGCAGTGACAAGTGGTGTTCCGCAAGGGTCTCAATGAAGGAACTGTGGGCATTCTGGCTAAGTTTGCAGACATACAAAGATAGGTAGAGGGACAGGTAATATTGAGGAGGTAGGGAGGCTGCAGAAAGATTTGGATAGGTTAGGAGAGTGGGCAAAGAAATGGCAGATGGAGTACAACGCGAGATAGTGTGAGGTCATGCACTTTGGTAAGAAAAATATAAGTATGGACTATTTTCTAAATGGGGAGAAAATTCAGAAGTCTGAAGTACAAAGAGACTTGGGAGTTCGAGTCCAGGGTTCTCTCAAGGTAAACTTGCACATTGAGTCAGTAGTCAGGAAGGCAAATGTAATGTTGGCATTTATTTTGACAGGACTGGAATATAAAAGCAGGGATGTACTACTGAGGCTTTATAAGGCTCAGGTCAGGCCACATTTGGGGTATCGTGTGTAGTTTTGGGCCCCATATCTCAGGAAGGACGTACTGGCCCTGGAGCGGGTTCAGAGGAGGTTCACAAGAATGGTCGCAAGAATGAAAAGCTTAACATATGAGGACTGTTTGAGGACTATACGCATTGGAGTTTAGAAGGATGGTGGGGGGGGGAATCTAATTGAAACTTACAGAATACTGAATGGCCTGGACAGAGTGGATGTTGGGAAGATGTTTTAATTTGTAGGAGAGACTAGGGCCCGAAGGCACAGCCTTAGAGTAAAGGGAACACCTTTTAGATTGGAGATCAGGAGAAACTTCTTCAGCCAGAGAGTGGTGAATCTATGGAATTCACTGCCACAGAAGGCTGTGGAGGCCAGGTCATGGAGTACATTTAAGACTGAGATGGATAGGTTCTTGATTATCAAGGGGATCAAGGGTCACAGGGAGAAAGTGGGAGAATGGGGTTAAGGAACTTATCAGTCATGATTGAATGGAGGAGCAGACTCGATGGGCTGAATGGCCTAATTTCTGCTCCTATGTCTTATGGTCTTATCATTGCTAAATACCCCACGATCAACAACCTGTCAACTACCATGGACCAGAACCTGAGCTGAACAAGCCATGTAAATATACTGCATCAAAATCCTGCAATTCCCTCTCTAACACTACTCTGTGTCTCTACACCTCAAGGATTGCAGCTATTTAGGATGGCAGGTGAAGCAAAGAATTCTGTGCCGTGCAACTCATCACCAGTGTCTACCATACATAACTCAGGCATCTGATGGAATGCTCTCCATATCCTTGGATGAGGGCAGCTCCTGCAACACTCAAGAACTTTGACACATTAGAGGGCCAAAAGCCCCCTGAATGGTACCCATGCACCACCTTCAACATTAACTACCTTTATAACTGATGCACAGTTACAGCAGCGTGCATGATCTACAAGATGCACTGCAGTAAATCACCAAGGCTTCTCTGACAGCAATTTCCACATCTGCCACCTCTACCTCCTCAAACGGCAAGGTCCCCCCTCACAAACCATCCCTGACTTGGAAGTATATCACTGTTCTTTCACCGACACTGGATCAAAATCCTGGAATCCCTCTTTAGCAGCTACACCCCAAGGATTATAGCTGTTTAGGAAGGCAGCTCACTACCATTTTCTCTAGGACTGTTAAGAGATCAGCAATAATGCTGATCTAGCTAGCGATACTCTCATCCCATGAATGAATAATTTAAAAAAAGCACAAGATCACCCATTCATGTCAAGTTTAAACTTTAATCATTTGACATTTAATCTGTGATTGCCTATCATTTAAATCCAATTTGTCAACACACCAAACAATGAGAAATGTTTAGTCAATATGGTAAGTTTAGTTTTGCTCTGCAACATTTTTCAAGAAATCTGTAATATCTCTCTCAAGCCACTTGGCCCCACAGGTCTCAGTAGTTAATTGGTCATGGAATAATTGATAAACTTCTATTAATTTATTACATGAAGAACACTTTACTAGCAGTGTCTAGAGAATGAGGATAATACTAGCAACAAAACTAGCAACAGTTTGTCCCCAATCTCAGTTCTGACAGTAAAACGCAAACACTTCACAAAATTGGGGAGGTGACGGCCTAGTGGTTTTATCGCTAGACTGTTAATCCAGAGACTCAAGTAATGTTCTGGGCACCCAGGTTTGAATCCTGCCATGGCAGATGGTGAAATTTGAATTCAATAAAGACTTGGAATTAAGACCCTATTCACGACCATGAATCAATTGTCAACTGTCGGAAAACCTCACCAGGTTCACTAATGTCCTTTAGGGAATAAACTGCCATCCTTACCTGGTCTGGCCTACATGTGACTCCAGACCCACAACAATGTGGTTGACTCAACTGTCCTTTGGGTAATTAAGGATGGGCAATATATGTTGGCATAGCTAGTGACACCCTTATCCAATGAAAGAAATTTTAAAAAATGAACAGGGAGTGGGTCATCTTGGAAGACTCTGAATTCTCTCCACTGCAGCAAAGACACCTCAACAGCCGTTCGTCTGCCTGCGTTCTTGATGTGGACTTGATATTTGGAATGGGGAGACAGAAGAAATGGAATAAACATTCAAATTTTATAGAGTCTTTTAGTGATCACCACTAAAGATGAGGAATGTATCAGTGAGGTGTAAAGTGAAAAGTAGTCTTCACAAACCTGTAGCTCCAAAAGCATCTAAACATTCAAGTGGTTTGCGCTCTTGAGCCAAGACAGCAAGTGTACAGAAAATTAATTGCCTATAACATAAACAATAACAAGTAAGAAAAAAGTATTATTTTGATATAATGTTTTGAAAAATGTGGATAGAAAAGCTATGCTGGTAAAAATAATTCGTCAGAAGTTCAAAATAAATGCATTAAATAACATTCATGAGACAACAACTTGTCTTTTACTAAAAAGGCAACCATTCAAGTGTGCTACTTATTACACAGTAGAATGTTGCATTATAACTAACTTTATTAACACAAAAATGGATAAATGATCCTGAATCCAAATATACGAATAGAAGACACATATTTAATCAGCAATATCTAACTTCCATGTCTAAGGTTTTGGAGTAGATTTGTAGCTCAGATTGTGGGTGTTGAGGCTGGTTGGCTTGCCAAGCTGGTTTGTTGTTTCGCAGATGTTTCGTTACCATGCTGGGTAACATCCTCAGTGCAGCCTCTGATGAAGCGTCAGTGTGTTTTCCTGCCTGGTTTTTATATATATGTATAAAAATATATGTATTGTATAAATGAATGAATAAAATTGTAAAATAAAACTGTACATTAACTAAAATTGGTAAGCTAAAGCTGCACCTCATCGTTTAGAATAACAAGTCAGATACATTACCTGTTAGGTTTCATTTTAGGGTTAAAGAAAGAGTCTGTTTTTTGAGGAGTCAGGTGGTTTGGAAAAACATGAACATCAGTATCGACTTCCTTCAGCACTTCAGTGGATTGTACTTGCCCACTAGTGGCTAAAATAGAGAAAGTCAGTTACAAGAAATGAGGCACAGCATTGATGAGACAAAGATTTCTGAAAATCAAAGTGTTTAAGAGATTCCTTTAAAGGATTAGGTCAGTTGCCATTCTGGGTATTTTCTCTTCCTTCCCTTCCCGTCTTTTCCTGATGGCATCAATTCCTTGTCGGTTATGACTGGTATCATCACAAATTTCTGTTCCACAACAACACGGCCAGTCTCAACATGTGAACCTTGCACTGAACCTCAGCAGGCTATTGCACCTTAAAGAATCAAGCTTATTCCTATCCTCACCGAACATCCACATTTGATCTTATACATGATTGCAAACTGCAGTTGATTTGGTTCCTCCTCATCCAGGGACCAAACTGTAGTGCTCTTTGCTGTCATTCTGGCTGGTACGATAAACTGAACTAAGGGGAAGCATTTTTGATGCTCGTCATCTGTAATGACAGATTCCTTACACACAGCAACTGACTGTTCCTTAAATGGTTCCAGGGTTTTTGCCTTCACCATCCTATAATTACAATCTTTGCATCAGGAGCTTACTGACATCAATCCTTAACTTGCTTTTCATCAGTTTCAATTTGTGCAACCTTGGACTAATGTCATGCTTCAAGTCTGAAGAAGAACTGTGCCACAGCTTTTTTTCTAAACATACAAATAACTATCTTAAATACATATCTCCGATATTTAATCCACACGTGCATGCTTCTCTCCCCATCACCTTGGTTCAGGGATTAAAAGTCTGGGTTTTTACAGATTCTTTTCTGATGAGAATGATCAATCTTCTGGGTTTTCTTTTGCATCCACAGAATCTTGAATGCCTCCTGCCAACTGGTGACCAAAACTAGACATCACATTCATCGTTTATCGACCCCAATGCTATGTAGTTTCACAACTTCTTGTGACCTGTGCTTTACTGTTTCAGTGATATAGTTCAGCATACACCACCACAAACAAGTTACAGACTGAGATCCACACTGCCTTGATGATTTATTTATTTACTTAAAATCAGCTTAATCTCAGTCCATCTTATTTTAAATATCTCAGAATAACTCAAATTGTGATCACAACACAGTTTATTCCAGAGATAGTAGTAACTGCCAATGCTGGAGAATCCGAGATAACAAGGTGTAGAGCTGGATGAACACAGCAGGCCAAGCAGCATCAGAGGAGCAGGAAAGCTGACACTTCGGGTCTGGACCCTTCTTCAGAAGGGAGAAGGATCCAGACCCGAAACGTCAGCTTTCCTGCTCAGCCTGCTGTGTTCATCCAGCTCTACACCTTGTTATCACAGTTTATTCCATACAAGTTTCCTTTCCTCTCTTCTGGAGCAGCTTCTTCTAGAGTCTGTTGATATCCTAAAAAATCTCAAAAAATGAAATAAGATACCAGGTGTCAGCAGGAAAGAAATTTTGAGTGGCAATACCACCGATATTGTATTGAATTGTCTCTTTACTCCATTCACTTGCCTTGATTGCACACCCTTCTTTAGCTATTCACCCAACAAGCCACTGAACAAAGCTAGATCCCATTCTCAGCTGACATTTGCGCAAATACATTTCCCAGAGAAGCCACTGAACAGCAACCAGGAGCAGGAATCTCAGGTGACATTTCAATTCCATTGGCTAGAATGCTGAGGTCAAAGTGGGTTTTCAGGTCTCAACTAGGAAGACAATAAATAACCAACTTTCCCAGATTTCAAATGATCCCACCTACTTCACGCACCTCCATTGAAGCTGGCTTCTGTGTCTCCTTTGTTCAAATGTCGTGTTATGTGGCTGATCATGTCTGTTCTGCGAGCAATGGTAGCTGAACAGACAATGCAGTGGTAATGTGCTCCAATTCTTACCGGGACCTGAAAGCAGGAAACTATATTAAAGCAAACGCTTCATCACCAAGGATTACGATATTTCCAACTTCTGTAAATTTCTAAATGTATTCTTTTCTCACTGCAATCAGCGAACACACCAACACTATTGGCAAAAGAATAAACGGCAGTTTTCTACATGCAACTGAATAGTGCAAAACCTGACAATGCTAAGCAACCGTTGGAAAAATATTGAGAAATCAGGTTAATAGTCATCAAAATTGCATATTAAGGTTAAAAATCTACACCTGAGAATAAGGCAGTACAGGAACACATTTTTAGGTTTTGAAGCAGTTTGCTTCAGTTAAAGAATGCTACAATAGACATGTTAAGTGACGATCCATCCACAACAGATTCTACTCATTGTTTATCACAACATTAGAAAGGGAAGAAGAAATTGTGTCAACTATTGCGCTACTGCTTCCAACCTCTTAGCAAAATGGTGTCTTTAAGAGGCATGACTTTAAAACTACTGATAATCAAAAAATCTCTTTTCATAACAAATTGAACACACATGGGAGTTCACGTAAATCCACGAGCCAAAAACGTCTTGCATGTTAAACTTTTAGCTTGGTCTTGGTTACGGATGTTGGATTGTGTGTTGCTATATTTCCCATCTTAGAAATATACCGATCTATGGATCAGGTAATGGATAATGAAACAAATCATATGATACTTGGGAGAATATTTCTGTGTCATTGTAAAAATGGCAGACTAGCCTAGAAATCACAGCATCTGGCCTTAACACAGCAATTCACATTTGCATGATGTTAGAAATGGGGTTGTATCAGATTTATGCAGATGGAATTCATAGAGGCAGTTAGTTATTTAAATCATCAGGCTTCTCTCAAGCTGGATTCTGCTAACCTAGGATTCTGAAACCTGGAATGTGCAAAATAGACCAGGTATAGGGCCAAGCCTGCCCCACTGTCAGTCTGATATAGCCCAATGTTTCTGGACAAAAAAAAAGTCTAACAACTAGGCAACCATTTTCTAAAGTCAGGTTTGTAGAGTCAGGAGTTCTCTCTTAGTTCAGGATACTGAGTAGGATGATCAGCCATGACCATATTGAATGGTGGAGCTCAAAGGGCTGAATGGCCTACACCTGCACCTATTTTTTATATTTGGGAGAGGGTTGAAAGAAGTAGAAAATATGAGTAACTTATTCATATCTCAGGTTTAGATTTCCTGTGGTCCTTAATCACGACAACAATAAATAGTCAGATGTAATTGAAAGGCAATAATCACCTGAAGAATGCAGTGGGCAATATATGAAGGGGTTAAATAAAAGTTGCCAATATCCTAAAGAAATCATGGCACAGTTATTGCATACATTAATGCAGTTTTATTCCATTTTTATGCATTCAGCATTCAAGTTAACTGAATATCCGTAACTTGGAATGAAACATATAGTTATTGAAAGATTAAGAAATCAAGACAGAAAGTTGTGTGATTATGGTATAACTGCAAAAAATGTCAGGTGATAATCTAGTCAAGGACTAGATTGAGCAAACGATATCAACTCAGATGCAAGCCACATTTTACCTTTCTGTTATTATATTACTTGATCATCACTTGACCAATTTCAGTTCCTGGGTCAATAATCACGAATGATAAATTTCCACAATTGTTTGTTTGGAAACAAATCCTGTATTTGGATAATTTCTATAGACAATTCACACACATACACCTACATTCAAAAGACATGAATAAACCAGTTTAATTGAGAGATGTAAATTGAACAATCATTTATTAATATAGTTTTTATTGTTGTTACCTGTTCTCCATTGAGGTCAGTTTTCATGCGTCGGCAGGACAAATGACAGATGCACATTCTATAACCTGTTATAAAGGTGAAATCAGCAAGAATTAAAGACAGAAACAAGATTTTTTAACAGGGCTCTGCCACTGACTCATGTGGTGAAATATTTGCAGAATATAAAATTAGTTAAACATTCTTTTGATTTAAAAAATACTTATCCTTTTAAGCCAATTTTTTGACTACTTAATACAAGCAACAGGAACGGGGCGAGGGGTGGGGGCAGCATGAGAACAGAAAAGGTGTTCCTTCCCACCTCGTACACATGAAGTGCTTAGAAGCATATCACATTCAAATACCAGGAACTACACGTAAGAAATTCAAGGCCAGAAATTCCCAAAAGAGCACTCTCTGATACAGGACAACAAAGTACTTTGCCATCTAACGAACCAGGGATATACCTCAGGTTTTTCATATTATGTTCATATTAATAATTATGTGGGAGCACAGAACTCGAATACTGCTGAACACAGAAACGTAGTCAAAGCTTTTGGCCTTGTATTCATTAGTACAATCCACAACACATACCATCATAAAGGGAATAACAACATTTTTACTGAATTGATCGACAGTGGACTCTGGTAGAGGCGTTATCATGGAGCATGCATCAGTTAATGGTGACTGACAGTCAACTGCCAAGTTTTGTTTAAATTTAAAAAGGCAGGTGAAGTTACAAGAAGGACCAGGAGGTTGAAGTGTTAAACAACAGAAAGCTTTATGTTGGAGGTGGTCACTCTATATGCAGCAAGGTTAAAGAGCTCCATGTCTGCCCAAGACAGCTGAAGAAACTATTACATCACTTGATCAGACTCAAAGTGACAATCCACCATACTTAAATATATAACACAGGCTGACTCTGAGGTCAAGGTGTTGCCCTGAGGAATGAACCAGAGCATGGCTGTCATCTATTTTGTTGAGCTGAAACAAGCCAGAAAGGCTTACCACATAAGGAAGGCTGTAAAAGCAATGGACAGATTTGGTGTGAAATATATCATGGCACCATTCGTAGAGGAGCAAGGCAGTCTTACTAGTCTATTGGCCAATTAACACCATCGATCAAAAAAGAAAAACTACTTGGCCTTGTTTCTTACTGCAGTTTGCAAAGTCCTGCTGTGTGCAAGTTAGTTGATGCATTTGTCCACAGAACAGAAGTGTTCTTTTTATTCTCTTGTGATGACGTGGGCATGACTGCTGGTCAGCATTTATTCCCCTTGAGAAAGTGGTGATGACCTGCTTTCTTGAACCATTGCAGTCCATGTGCTATAGGTAGATCCATAATGCAATCATGGAGACAGAATTTTCTGCAGCATTGCAAATTATGAAGGTCATCATTGCACAATGTTATAGTAGTGGTTGTAATGGTGTGCTTGTAATGTTTGGACACATCTGAATTTGTTTTATTACAGTCTAATATTACAAATTTTCAAGCATTATCCAACTTTGCAGTCCTGATTAACAAGCAATTGTTATATTTCAACTAACATGGTAGAGATTAGATCAGAAGACATTTGGCCATAAACAGATCACCTCACTCAGTTTCAGGTGAAAGCTTCACTTGTGCAGCAACCAAGAAGGTCTTAAGTAGGTTTCTTACAAGTAGACCTTTAAGTTTTTTGTTTGTTCAATCGTGGGATATGGGAGGCACTGGCTAGGCCAGCATTTATTGACCATCCCAAACTGCCTAGAGGGTAGTTAAGAGTCAACTGCTTCTGGAGTCTAGGTAAGGACAGCAGTCAAGGCAACAATGGCAATTATGTTCCTTAAAAGGACATTAGTGGGTTTTTCCCAACAATTGTTCTACGGTCAGCATAAGATTCTTAGTTCAAGATTTTTAGTGAATTTAAATTCCACCATCTGCCAGAATGGGATTCAAACCGAGGTCCCCAGAACATTACCTGGGTCTCTAGCTTAATACCCTAGTGACAATACCACTAGGCCATTACTTTACTAACAAGATATCATGTGTGGTGTGAGTGTGCAAAAGAAAATGTAAGGATACCACACATTCAAATGAACAGGCAGTGTACACCAGAAAAAGAACGTGCTGGTGACATTATGTCTGTTCATAAACAATGAACAGTAGGAAATGATCAGCTGCTCTGTCAAATTTGTCCCACACTTTGTGCTGAACGGAGCACAAAATGAAAGTAGAGCCTTCCAACATTCCTCACTCCAACCACACAGACAAAAGCAAAGTATATGCTTCAAATGAATCAAAAGATTTCATCCTCAGTACCCAAATGTTACATCAGAAAATATGATTCACGACAGTCAGGCACAGGTGTAAAAGTTAATTGGGACCGTCATACTTCCTTGAAATAAAGGTTCTAAAATCAACAGAAATCTTCAGTTTCTAGCGTAGTTATAATGGAGAATTTAATTATCTGAAGATGGAATGGATCACGGTATTGATAAGTGCAGTGGGGTCATAAGTTTCTAAAGTGTGTCAAAAAGTTTTCTATAGCAACATATTTCCAGTTCAACAGGAAAGGAAGCACTGTGAGACTGGTTCTTCATAGAATCCCTATAGTGCTGAAGGAGGCCGTTCGGCCCATTGAATCTGCACCAGTCCTCTAAAGAATATTCCACCCAGACCGCTACCATATCCCATAATCCCACATTTACCATGGCTAATCCAACTAGCCTATGCATCCCTGAACACTACGAACAACTTCAGTATGGCCAATCCACCTAACCTGCATATCTTTGCTCTATGGGAGGAAACCCACACAGACAGGGGGAGAACATGCAAATTCCACACAGACAGCTGCCCGAGGCTGGAATTGAACCCAGTTCCCTGGTGCTGTGAGGCAGCAGTGCTAATCACTGAGCCAATGCTGGGAAAAATTTTGGCAAAGTGGATTCACGTGTCAGTAGGGGAAAATGTTGGGGACAGTGGTCATTGTATCAATGCTTACGTTAACTCAAATCTGGCTCCTTGAAACAAAGGCTGTGTCAGAGTTTGGGTTGGGCAGTTTGGGTTGTGATCAAGCAAGGCAGTGTGGTGTCAAAGATCGTGGGAGAGTAGTACCTAGTCTGAAGCCAGACCACGATGAATAAAATTGACCTTACATGTTCTTGAAAATAATTAATACAGTTAAACTGCATGCTTTGATTATAAAAATAAAGATTATTAATAAATGGATTTTGGACACTGCCAGTTTTGAGGTAGCTGGATTTGAGGCAATCTACTGTAATGGAAAAGGACAAGAAACAATTCAGAGCAACAACAGTTAATTGTGGGAAAGCCAATTCCAAAGAGGTGTGAATGAGTCGCACCCACAACAAGTGGAAGCAAATGTTGGCAGGGAAACCTGCATCACAATAATATACCACCTTAAGGAGAAAGGCAGAATAAACAAATTCACAGCTCCCTGGATGGCAATAGAGATGGTGATCAAAAAGGTTGGCTAATGACAGTTACAGGGTGGACAATACGACCAAAAACCGGGCTGAATATAGGAGGTTTGGAAGGAAGGGAAAATGAGGAACAAAGAGCGCATGAAGAGAGACTAGCAGTTAATCACAAAATGGAATCCAAAAAGTCTTTTTATTGGCATGTAAATAGTAAAAGGGTGGTAAAAGGAGGAGGGGAACCAAAAACCGGATTTTTACACAGAGGCAGGCAATGAGGCTAAGGTGTTAAATATATACTTTACACTTACATGTACTACTTTAACAAGGAATAAGCTGTTGTGCAGATCATGGTGAATGCAGGCAATTCAGACATTTGAAAGGATTAGAAGTGGTAAGGAGATAGGCTGTTTGTACATAATGTTGACAAAATACCATGGCTGGATATGATGCAACCAAGGATACCAAAGCACTAGTCATAAATTTTGCGTGTTCCTTAAAGTAAAAGATTGGAAAATTGCAAATTACCTTTGTTTAAAAAATGATGAAATGATAAACTCAGCAACTAGAGACCAGTCAGTTTAACCTTGGTAGTGGAGAAGCTTCTTGAAACAAATCATTCATGTCACACCTCAGTGGAGTAGCATTTTAGAAATCCATCCCTGCTAAACTGAGCATTATCCCTTTATTCATTCATGGGACGAGGGCGTCACTGGCTAGACAGCATTTATTGCTCATCCCTAATTGCCCAGGGGACAATTAAGTGTCAACCACATTGGAGTCACATGTAGGCCAGACCAGGTAAGGATGGCAGCTTCCTTCCCTAAAGGACATTAGTGAACCAGATGGGTTTTTCCAACAATCGACAATGGATTCACAGTCGTCACTAGACTCTTAATTCCAGATATATATTGAATTCAAATTCGACCATTTGCCATGACGAGATTCAAACCCAGATCCCCAGAACATTACAGAGATAGTAGGAACTGCCGATGCTGGAGAATCTGAGATAACAAGGTGTAGAGCTGGATCAACACGCAGGCCAAGCAGCATCAGAGGAGCAGGAAGGCTGATGTTTCGGGTCGAGACCCTTCTTCAGAAATGGGGGAGGGGAAGGGGATTCTGAAATAAATAGGGAGAGAGGGGGAGGCGGATAGAAGATGGATAAGGGAGAAGATAGGTGGAGAGGAGACAGATAGGTCAAAGAGGTGGGGTTGGAGCCAGTAAAGGTGAGTGTAGGTGGGGAGTTAGGGAGGGGATAGATCGGTCCAGGGAGGACGGACAGGTCAAGGAGGCGGGATGAAGTTAGCGGGTAGGAGATGGGGGTGGGGCTTGAGGTGGTAGGAATGGTTAGGGAGGCAGAGACAAGCTGGGCTGGTTTTGGGATGCGGTCAGGGGAGGGGAGATTTTGAAGCTTGTGAAGTCCACATTGATACCGTTGGGCTGCAGGGTTCCCAAGCGAAATACGAGATGCTGTTCCTGCAGCTTTCGGGCGGCATCATTGTTGCCACGCAGGAGGCCCAGGATGGACATGTCGTCCAAGGAGTGGGAGGGGGAGTTGAAATGGTTCGCAACTGGGACGTGCAGTTGTTTAGTGCAAACCGAGCATAGGTGTTCTGCAAAGCGGTCCCCAGGCCTCCGCTTGGTTTCCCCGATGTAGAGGAGGCCACAACGGGAACAGTGGATACAGTATACCACATTAGCAGATGTGCAGGTGAACATCTGTTTGATGCGGAGGGTCTTCTTGGGGCTTGGGATGGGGGTGAGGAGGGAGTGTAGTGGCAGGTGTAGCACTTGCTCCGGTTGCAGGGAAAAGTGCCGGGTGTGGTGGGGCTGGAGGGGAGTGTGGAGCAGACAAGGGAGTCACGGAGAGAGTGGTCCCTTCGGAATGCAGATAAGGATGGGGAGGGAAAAATGTCTTTGGTAGTGGGGTCGGATTGCAGATGGCGGAAGTGTCAGAGGATGATGCGTTGGATCCGGAGGTTGGTGGGGTGGTACATGAGGACGAGGGGGATTCTGTTTTGGTTGTTATTGTGGGTAGGGGGTGTGAGGGACGAGTTGCGGGAAATGTGAGAGACACGTTCGAAGGCATTTTCGACCACTGTGGAGGGCAAGTTGCGGTCCTTGAAAAACGAGGACGTCTGGGATGTCTGGGAGTGGAATGCCTCATCTTGGGAGCAGATGCGGCAGAGGCGAAGGAATTGGGAGTAGGGGATGGCCTTTTTGCAGGAAGGTGGGTGACAGGAGGTGTACGTTCCCCAGAACATTATCTGGGTCTCTGCATTAACAGTCCAGTGATAATACCACTAGGCCATCGCCTCCCCCATGACAAATGTTAACTTAAAAGTTAAAAAAAATTGATGCAAAGATCGTATTTAGTTCCTCCATCAATTCTTCGTTCTCCACTACTACTTCTCCAGCCTCATTTTCCAGTGGTCCAATGTCCATTCTCGTCTCTCCACCTTTTAAAAAAACCCTTGCAATCTTCTTTCATATTACTAGCAAGTTTACTCCCTTTTTTAAAAAAATTAATTCATGGTATGTGAACATCACTGGTTAGCATTTTATTGCCCAGAGGGCAGTTGAGAGTCAACCACCTGGCTATGGTTCTGGAGTCACATGTAAGCCAGACCAGGTAAGGGTGGCAGCTTCCTTCCCTAAAAGCTATTAGGATTTTTCTTACAATCAGCAATGGTTTCATGGTCATCATTAGACTCTTAAATGTAATTTTTTTTTTTCTTAATGAAATCAAATTCCATCATCTGCCATGGCAGGATTTGTACCCAGGTACCCAGAACATTACCTGGGTCTCTGGATTAACAGTCTATTGATACCACTGCCTCCCCTAAATTATATTTCATCTTCTACCCCCTTATTTTTTAGTGGGACTTTAAACCTGGGCCTTATGGCTTGGAGGTTTTTTTTTTTTAATACCCTGCACGACAAGAGTCCTTAACACAATAAATTTCAGGTGATATTTTCTAATATGCTGTTCAGAGATGTTACTACTCACCTTTGGAGCAGGTGGGAATTTAACATAAGCCTCCTGGCTCAGCGGTAGGGACACTACTACTGCACAAAGGCCTTCTGAAAACCCAGCTCTTCTTTTTCTTTTTTTCTATATACTGAAGTGCTCTCACACACAACTATATGGCTCTTCCCACTTGTGACAACTAATACAAAGTCCAATGAGTATCACCAGCTCTAAGCCCACTCTGAAGCTGTTCTGGTTGCCCCTTAATGGGGCCTGAATTTCTAACTGGCACATCAAGCCAGGTTGCACTTTGGGATCAAACTTGCCCAGTACTACTATCAGCCTGATTTGTAACATTTTCCAGCGAGGTTAATCTTTACTCTCCTCTTTGACCAAATTTTCTCCTGCATCTCATAACTCTGAGATGAAGATTTCCTTCTGGAGTGCTGCTTTCACCCTTTTGGTATTTCCAGGAGTACCGTGGACTGCTTCAGTTTTATGTATTTCAATATTTGTCTTCTGAAAATGGTAATGGTTTTATATCAGGTTGTCAGGAATTCTTTTCCCCTGGTCGAATGAAATTTCTCCACCATTTTAACTTGAGGTGTTTTGGCAATGGTGCTTGCTCTTGCTCACTATGTTAAATTGACCTCTGGGTGATTGAGATATACACAGTGTTTCATGACCAGTGACTGAGCTAATTGGGTGTTTTTCTTATAATTGTGTCATTTTCATGCAGTTACTTCGGCGATGCTGTTGTAGTTCAGCACCTTAACACCAAGTGGGCATTATTTTTGTATAAAATAGATTCAAATCAAAAAGAAGTTTCAATGCAGATTTGAGTCAGAAGAACACAACTATCAATGCCCTGGACAAAACTTTCAGCTCTCAGTTTGAATTCCAAAAAGGAGTATGTGTTACTCAGGCAGTCATCTGTAAAATCTGCAAAGAATAACAGGATTCTTTCTTGATAAATTGGTCTGAAGTAGAGATTTTGGAATTAAAGTAAAACAGTTGAGCAGTTCTGAAATTTATGGTATTGGAGCGTAATCTGTTTGAGCATCTCAAGGCAGTGTGGAGTTAAAAAATCTAGAACTTCAGACCAAAATTTATCAGAACAAAGATGTCAAGACTGCAAGAGAAATCAGGTTTTCCTACTTCCGTAAGGTACTGTTGAATGAAACATCGGATAGAAAAAGAAAACTAATCTCAGAAGCAACTACCTCAGAAAAACCAACTGGATGGCTTTCAACTATATCTGTATTATTTCAGAAGTGCCAGCCTTATGATGTGCTCAACGAGTGTTCTGGAAACTCCTTGTATGGACTGGAGGGTACGATGTGAAGGTGGAGGTTCACAGGACTCAAACCTTTCAGCTGAAAGTGCACTAGCAACAAACAATATGTCCACGACAATACAAACAAAGAGGGAGGGTCACCAGACCCGAAACGTTAACTGTTTTTTCCTTCACAGATGCTGCCAGACCTGCTGAGCTTTTCCAGCAACTTTGTTTTTGTAAACCTTTCTCTAACCCTATCCAGCATTTCAAAAATGCTCAATACGTCCCTGGAGAAATAATTCATGACTTTAAATTTGCAAGTGGGCAGATCTGATCTTGGGATAGAGAATTTTGCCTTCTCAGTATATAAATGCAAATCATTATGACAATTGCTCAATTTCAGGCCTAACAATTTTGCAACTCATTCAACATCCAAATACCATTTCAAATCTTCAGCTGAAGGACACTAAAATGGACACAATTTTCAAGGGTTAATCTTCCTAGAAAAAGACTGACTATTTATGATACTGAGATAGGTCTCTCAATCAGTTTCAAAAAAAAGCAACTCATAACTAAGCATTCATATCCCCTGCAATACCATTACAATTAAAGTTGGGAGATTTAACTTTGGTTCAATGAAGATCACAGGAGGGCATGCCCGGAACAGCATCAGGCATATCTAAAAATGAAGTGTCAAACTGGTGAAGCTTCAAAACAAGATTACTTGCATGCCAAACAATAGAAGCAGCATTAGCCAGTGGGTTAAGTGATCCCACAAAATGGATCAGATCTTAGCGCTGCAACCCTGTAACATGCAGTTGTGAATGGTGGAGGATAAATAAACAACTAAAGGGAGGGCACGGCCCCATGTATATCCCATCCTCAACAATGAGTGAGACCAATGCATCCCAAAGGACAAGGTGTAATTGTGCATCCACTTTCAGCTAGAAGTGTCGAGTGGATGATCCATCTTGGCCTCCTCCTGACGCTCCCTAGCTGAAATTTGTCAGTCAGCCAACTCAATGCACTCCACATGATATTAAGAAATGGCTAATGGCACTGGATGCTGCAAAGGCAATGGACCCTGATAACAATCCACTATTAAGACTGAAGATTGGTGCTCCAGAACTAGCCGTGCCCCCATCCAAGCTGTTACAGTTGTGCCCACAGGCAGCAAAGCCTAGACAACATCCAGCCTTGGGCTGATAAATGGCAAGTAACATTTGCGACACACAAGAGCCAGACAATGACCGTTACTAGCACTGAATTCCCCAGTGTCAACATTTGAGGATTGCTATTGACCAGAAACTGAACTAGACCTGCTATACATACTGTGGCTAGAAGAGCAGGTCAGAGGTTTCTTCGGACCCGATGTATTAAACGTTTTTGACGTAATCTAACCACTTGCCCCCACTGATGATCAGAAGAGGATGGTCCCCTGACCTGTCCACACTGCCACTCAGAGCCACAAATTCAAAATGTTGGTTCTGTTCCTCTCAGCACAGATGTTGTTAGACCGTTCTCAAGTATTTTGTTCTTCCTCTTAATCAGGTCATTGGAAACTTATCTTTCTGGTCAACTTTGTGAAACTTGATGAATGGCTTTCACCATCAAGATGTGCTCACTGAAATTGAAGACACCCCTAAATTGAAGAGTCTAAGAACAAATTCAAGAAGCAGTTTGATTCCTGATGTTGCTCAATATGAGCTAAAGCCCTTTGAAGCTTTCAGCTGCCCCAGCTCTAAATAATATTGAGAGCAAGGACTTTGAAGATGATGATGTGATGATATTCCTGATCTTCCAACTCCACCAGCCTGCTTTGTAGTGCTCTCTAATGTTCAGCATTGTATACTTTGTTCATCTCACTATCAGTTGGACTTAAAAATGCTAACTAGTCCAGCAAAAGGTGAAGCAGCAATTGCATATAACACAATTTTGAAGATAAAGCCATTCAAAATAACTGACAATTAACAAAAAAAAATTGTTAGAGTCAAATCAAAGTAAAATATTAGAATTTTTGTCATCCAAAATTGCAAATGCATTGAAATCAGTCTACCAGTAAAATGTTTCTCTCTTGTTGAATGAAAAGTCATAACTGGTTTGACAGTAGAAACTTCAGCTCTACTACCATTATGAGGAAATCTGGTACCAAAAAACCTACACAGTTGCATCTTTTTCAAGTATACAGTCCTTTGCCATTCAACCCACTACGTGATCGATAAATATTTCCTCTGCTGTGACATAAACACAAGAAAACAGTTACCTTCAAATTCTATAGATACTTTCCAATGCAGATGTTGCAAATGCCTTCGCAGCTTGTGACTATAGTTGGGTTTAAACTTTTCTTCTGGACACAAAGGACATGACTTCTTACCAGCTAGGGAAAGCATACAAAGCATCATTAATCACAGTTACTCAACAGTGAATTAGAAATTTTTAAAAAAGTGAAAAAGAGAGCTTGAAATGTAGACTGCATCAATGCAATTTGATCTAAAGGCCAAATTCCAGTAACACTGTTCTCATCCTAATTGCATCCATGGCAAGATAAAATGTTCATACACTTGCAAGCATTTAGATCCCATTCGGATTTTCATATATTAAAGAGGCATTGTCGCAGTCTAAGTTAAACTGAAAACCTGAATACAGTATGCTGGGCCTGTATAACAAGCTGGTTTCAAAAGGCCACAGCTAGAGTAGAGTATTGTATGCAATTCTGAAATCTACATTACAGGAAGAATGCAATTGCACTTGAGAGGGCACAAAGGAGATATTCCAGGTTGAGGGATCAATGACCAGGGCGCTCTAGGAGGTTTAGAGGGGATGTGAGGAAATCTCCCCCCTCCACCAACCAACCCCCACCCATCCGCCGCGGCAGGGTGGTGGGAATCTGGAACTCACTGCCCGTAAAGGTGATAGAGACTGAAACCTTCACAACATTTAAGTAGTATTTAGATGTACACTTACGATGTCAGGGCAAAAAGGCTGAAAAATGGGATTTGAATAGTTAGGTGGTTGTTCTTGACTAACGCAGGCTCAATGGACTTTTTCTGTGCTGTAAACCTCTATGACTCTTAGCTCCTGGGAAATTTCTGCATTAGGGTTTTCCAAAGAATGGGTCATGAATTTTTTTGTCTTGAAATAGGGTTCTGATGAGAAGCATTTTGGGAAACCCTGACCTATAGTATAAAACTTGCTGTTATATTTTCACAGATGGAGTCCAGTTCACCACATGCAAATTCCATTGGAGATGTAAAGGAGTAATCACATCATGATCTTAATTTATGATGTTACAATGGAAGTTTTACAACATGCTTTTCAGTGGCTACAAATGTCCCTTAAAAAAAAAGCAAAAAAAAATAAATTTAGCATAATTGCGTTTTAATTCTGAGCTACTTACTGTCCAACTTGCTACTCAGAATAAAATGATACTATGAATTATCTTTCTGAAAAAGTGTTTTTAAAAAAACAAACTGACAGATTTGATGAACAGCTAAATTTTCAAATTACTTTCCAACATACTTCTCGATAATCTCAGGCTAATAGGAAATAAGAAGTGTTTTTGGTCTTTGTTAAAGCACAGTCACCATTCTTTCAACAGACGCTTATCAGTACTGTATTAAAATTGAAGTTTCTCTTTAGCTCTTTCTGTAGCTAACACTAACTACTTAGAAAGAAAGTGACAAGGCACCAAAAATCAGCTGTTTATTTAAGGCTAAGTATACCTACTAATATAATTAACTTATGTCTGTTATGTAAGCATTGATTTCAATATTAAGTATGGAAAGAAACTGAACATCTCATCCTTATGGTGTATTTAGTTTGATTTTATGAAATGCATAATGATGATTTTAGTTAACACAATGAATGCAATTGCACAATCAACAAATTTTATGAAGTACTGGTGGCTGTTGCAAGATATACCACAATGAAAGGCATCCTTTTTGAATGAGCATGATCTGGTTACAAACTTCACAAACTACTAAAGTCTTGAACAAAAGCAAATCAAATCCCAAGAACTAATGGCACAAAGGAACCAGCTCTCTCAACTTCATGCTTTGGTTTCCCTACTCTTAGTTTAGAATTGAGTATGCGACAAAGAGGAGAGGAAGGAGGGGAAAAACAACAGCAACGCCAACAAATGAACAGCCACTAATGATTTAACAAAACAAATTTTAATAACCTTCAAAAACACCGTCATAGCTGAGTAATGCATTTCTTATACACTTTTTAACAAGTGACAATTACTCTATTTTTAAAGGATCCTTTCAGATTTTTTTTTAAACAAATAATCAGAAACTGATTTTGCGTGCACTTACAAATCGATGAGACACTATTTACTCTCAGTACAGCAGCAAAACCTTAGTCTGTATTGGGCGTACTAAAGACTAACTGTTTCTCTGAAGCGCACGAGGCCAAACACTCACCTCCTTCAACACCGATAAGATTCTTCAGGTCTGTCAAAGATCTTTGAATCGATATGTGTCGCTCTAATGGTAAAAATACAATATTTTAGTGCACTGGAATCAGTTAAGCATAGTTATTTATCATACATTTGATGTATGGTAAAAATAATCAATATACATAATTCCCTTTTATGTATGTTGGTATATAAGCAGTACATTCCTGCGAAAAGCACTGAAGGACAGCAGGAAAACAGATGGAAAGGGGAGTAAAGTTAAGGAAGAAGAAGGGATTAGAGGTGCAACAGGGGAAAGGATTGGGCCAAGCTGTTTCTAAATAGTATTTTTTAGTAGTGGTGAATGTGAAAATCTTCTATAAACATACCTGCTGTTCCAGTTGTTGTATTTGGATCCATTGTTTCAGAAAAGTTTTCAAGATTTACATCAGGGGTGGTTGCTGCACTATAGTTTTGACTTGAGTCAGCACCAGTGTGCAAGTCAATAGTGACATTGCCAACATCTTCAACATGGTCATTCTCAAAATTGAAGGCTGAGTTATTAAAAAAATGAGAAAATTAGTTATGAAAATCTTAAGAAGAAAATCCAGTTTTTCTAATCCCAACTGAAAAACGACTCTCCTGTTTCTAGAAATAAACAGCAGAAAATGTGAGAAATCCAAAGCATGCAGCTTCTGAAAGAGAATACTGAGTTAATATTTTGTGCCTCCAATATAGGATTGTAACAGAAATGATATGCACAATAAAGATAACAATAAACAGTATGAAATTTTACTCAAGTGAAAAATACTTCTCTCTCCACAGCTGCTGCCAGATCTGAGCATTTCCAGCATTTTGTGTTAGTTTAGACAAATTGTTGGCTCTGTCTTTTCTATATTTTAAATGAACAACTTACACATGCCCTCTTCAATTCACTCTCAAAAACATTACTTCATTTAAAGAGACGTTTATGGTCATATCTAAATGTGGATGTATCTCTCCCACACACATCACAACTCGGTGCACCCAGCTGGAGCCTGACTTAAGCAATGCATGTATTGGCACATCAGTTTCTTACTTCCTCCCTTGGTTAAAAGTAATACATCAAGAGGGGTGGAGAAATGCTTATCCTAAGTGCTCTCAAGTAATGAAAACTTCCCACCTTCTAAGACTCACCTTTTATCCCCTTAAGAATCTTAAACCGGGTGCGCTTACATTACGATAGTTGTTCCTAAACAATTCATTATTGGAACAATCTACTGCTATTAATGGTTGATCAAATGTGACATCGCCATGGAGAAATATGAAAACAGAATTAGCATTCTTCTACTCTACCCCACCTCTCTACTGCAACATCCCTTTAAAATTAAACCTATTGTTTCCTTTTCTCTATTTCTGCTTGGCCTCAAGACTAACATTCACTTCAAGAAGCCCAGAAAAAGGCTAACTTAATAAAATCACTACCCTTGGTAGCAATCAATGAAACACAACTCAAAGGGGAAAGGATTTTAATAATCTTGACTGTTTTAGCACTTCTTTAAATTAAACAAAAAGCTCATTTGCAGCCAGTTCGCAAGAGAGGTTGTCATCCAGGCACAGGTAAACTAGCAAATAATTCCAGCTAAATTGGAGGAAATTTAAAAAAAAATAATAACAGGTGAACTAAGAGGCTAAGAGTCAAGAAAATCTTTCATAAATTAATGTAATTAGCAACAGTAGTAAAGATGATCTGAGGAAATCTTTTTCACATACGTACTGGTTAAGATCTGGAATAGCTGAGTTTCTGTCACAGAGAGCTGGCACAGACATGACGACTAAATGGGCTGGGTGCTGCAACTATCATATTGTCATGCAATCAGCTTCCAAAACGTGCAAAACGTACAGCATGTGTGTATTTCTGGAAGACCAATTCTAAATTAGTCATTCCAACAGCCAAGTATTATGTGGCTCAAATAAATGCACGGCTTCAGAATCAATGCCAGCCTATTGTCACATCAAATTTCAACAACATAGTAAGTCATATAGTCCCAGAGGACGAAATGATTGCTCTCTAATTAGAGACAGATATGGCTGGTTGTGGTTTAACCTGAGGACCACGACGTTGCTGGCGAGAAGGCAGGACATTCATGTTAACATCAAGCTGTTGGTGTCACTCTGCATCACAAACCAGCCATCCAGCCAACTAAGCTAAACAACCCCAACAGCAAAGCCATTTTGGTTGACTATCAGAGTTTCTCTGGCAGCCCTCTAAATAGCTGAACTGTATGATAGCAATCGTTTAGTGAAACATTTGTATTCTGTTTACATTTTTAAGGTTGAGATTTGAACACTGGTGCATGTTTTGGACTGTCCATGGTTTCTTTTTCATTGACCTGTTCAGAATTTTTTAAGCCATCCATGGGATGCTAAGAGCAAGTGGAGTTGGAGAAAAGCCTACTAAGAACAAGGGGTGTCGTTGATCTCTCCAATTTCAGGAAAGAAAGCCTTCATGTTAAGTTCAGGGTGAAATGCACATATTTTTTAAAAGAATATTTGAAAATATTGCATTTAATCTTATATTTATGTTGTATTTCCTGTAAGCTGTGTATGCAAATCTTCACAGAATACCATATATGATTAGTGACTTGACCACATATGCCAAAAACATCAGAGCAACAAACTCCAGTACATTCTACACTTTAATTTTTCACCTTCAAGAAAAATCCATTGGCCAAAAGGTTCATTTTTAAGAAAGGCAATTTCGGCAGAGAAATCTTTTATCACTCTTTTCCTAGAGAGTACTTGTGTGTTAGCATATGTGGTTTGAGGATATTTAGAGAAATAAGCATTTAGACTTCTACATTATTAACTGTGCAAGTTATTCAATGAAGATATAAATAATTGGTTACGTTTGGTTTTGATAATAAACTGATAATGATATTTATTCAGAAACCTGGTTGATAGGCCCTTTTTGTTTTTAATCCTTTACAAATAAGGTATTTAATTGGTCTTGGTAACAGGAAAAAGTGACTTTATCTTATTTATAACCCATGGAATTGTGTGACTACAGCAACAGCATACTCCTCCAGCCTCTGAGCTAACACTAGGAAGTGTGAAGAAAATCTTTGTCAGGTATGTGATTTCAGGGAAGGAATTCTCAAATATTGGAACTTGAACAGCTGTAGGTATGATACAAAAAGCAAGCAACAGGAAACAAGAAAGTACAAAGAAAAATATCTGGTTGAAGAGAACAGTGCTGGAGTTCATAGATAGATAGGAAAGCATAAGATCATAAACCAGTTTAAACACAAGGTTGAAAATTTTAAACTGGCGACGGAATCTGGGATTCCAAGTCTCCCAAACTGGCAAGAATATGAAATAATGGGTCAGCAACAAATGATACTGTTGGTAGTTTCTTTTTTTACGCAAGTGAAAGTGTTGAGGGTTTAGGATAGAAGGGTGGTCAGGAGAGTATTGCATTAGTAGAATCCAGGGATGGGATACATGAATCAGTGTTTCAGCAGCAGATTGGCTGCAGCTAGGATGAAATATGCAAGATATTGCAATGGTGAAAGCAGACGTCTTTGTGCTGGAGATAATGTGGGTTTGGAAGCTTGACATTTGGCATCTTCTGAGACACACATAATGTTTAGTCTACTTCAGCCTGAGTGTAGGTGTAAGTGGAATAGAATTTGTGGCAAGAGTTTGTAGCTGGGGCCAAAAACTGCATCTTTAGTCTATTCGATGTTTAACAGAAGGAATTTGCAGCTCCTTCAGTTAAGAAAAATAAAGTTAGAAGAGAGGATGAGCTGGTGCTATCAACATGTATCGCATAACTTTTCCCAGTCAGACACAGCATCAGTTAAGGAAGAAGAACAGGCTTGGTAGAGTCCAGAGGTAAGAGGCAAGACATACTTTGTCCGTAAATACATTAAAGACAAAAAGGGTAACTAGGGAGAAAATTAAAGATCAGCAAGGCTGCCTTTGTATGGAACTACAGGAGGTGGGGGAAGATACTAAATTAGTATTTTGCATCAGTGTTTACTATGGAGAAGGACATCGAAGATACAGAACATGGGGAAATAAACATCGACATCTTGAAAAGTGTCCATATTAGAGAGATGGTGATGCTGGACGTCTTAAAACGCAAAAATCCCCCAGGACCTGACTAAGTGTACCCTAGAACTCTGGGAAGCTAGGGAAGTGATTGCTGGGCCCCTTGTTGAGATATCTGTATCATCAATAGCCACAGGTGAGGTGCCAGAAGACTGGAGGGTTGGCTAGCGTGGTGCCACTGTTTAATAAAGGTGGTAAGGGAAAGTCAGGGAACTATAGACCAGTGAGCCTGACATCGGTGGTGTTGTTGGAGGGAATTCTGAGGGACAGGATTTGCATGTATTTGGAAAATGCAAGGACTGATTAGGGATAGTCAACATGGCTTTGTATTTGGGAAATCATGGTTTGAGTTTTTTGAAGTAGAAACGAAGAGGATTGACGAGAGCAAAGTGATGGATGTCAGCTATATGGCGTTAAGTAAGGCATTCGACAAGGTTCCTCATGGTAGACTGGTTAGCAAGGTTAAATCACACGGAATACAGGGAGAACTAGCCATTTGGATACAGAACTGGATCGAAGGTAGAAGACAGGGGGTAGTGGTGGCGGTTTCTTTTCAGACTAGAGGTCTGTGCCACAAGGATCAGTGCTGGATCCACTGCTTTTTATCACTTATCTAAATGATTTGGATGTGAATGTAGGAGGTATGGTTAGTAAGTTTGCAGATGTCACCTGCGATATTGCTGTGGAGGTGTCGGTGTTGGACTGGGGTGGACAAGGTCAGAAATCACATGACACCAGGTTATAGTCCACCAGGTTTATTTGAAAACACAAGCTTTTGGAGCCTCGTTCCTTCTTCAGGTGCTAATGAGAC